GATGCAGGAATCTCCCAGCTATGGATGCAACGCATGCATGAGGGAACAGAGGGTTAAATCTTGGCTGCAATCTCCCAGCTATGGATGCAACGTATGCACGAGGGAGCATTGTTAAGTTTGGTCGCCAGCTTGGTCGCCGGGCATACATGGCGACCTACCATGTCGCCGGGACTGCTTGGCGACCTACACAAAGAAAATTCGACGTGCATGGGTCATGCACTGCTCCCTGGATAGCTCGCACTCCTTGGTGCTCTCTGGATAGCCCACACTCACTCCTTGGTCGCCCGGAGTGCATGGCGACCTACGGCTTCACTGTAGAATTCACACTATCTCAGCAAATAATATGTCCAAAGCATTATATCGTGAAATAAAAATTTAGATAACATTATCTCGTGGATTTTGCCATATATATATAGTTTTTGTTTTTATTAGGTAAAATAAGGGACATAAATGAAAAAATGTACATAGATTAGTATTATAACAATTATCCTTATAGGTAGAGAGATCAATTATACTATTATTCTTGAATAACAATTATCCTTATAGGTAGAGAGATCAATTATACTATTATTCTTGAATCAGTTGGATCATATAATTTTTTACGTTAAATTGAGTATCGATTCAACTCGATCTCATCCTTTAAATTTTTTTTACCTAAACTTGAATTTTCAAAAATAAAACCAACCATATAAAATCAAGACGAATCAAAACCTCTCTAGTCCAAGTCAAATGATTATCCCTAATCAAAACCCTAAAATAAGACAACTCTTTCAACGTCATAAAATTTAAACTTAAAATTTTAATTCAAAATATATCAAATTTCTTATCACTTAATCCAATAAACACCCATATATAATATTCGAGTAAATAGCCCAAACCCATTTAGACATCCTATCCAGCTTCCTTGATGAGTCATCAATGTCCACTCCAACCATGAAAGAAAAAGAATCAATATTTGGTTACTTAGCAACTAAATTAGTAAAAAGAAAAAAAAGCTGAAACAAGTTTAAGTTCATACAATTATGAAGAGGAACAATAATTTTGGGTTTTGAATGATGACTGGTTGTATGTACATATATGCATGCATGGCCTAGTTAGCATAGATTTAATGCAAAGTTTAAGGGAGAAACATAATGTCAGAAGATAATGGTGGTCCAAATTAAACGTGCCACTGCTTAATATATCTGTCGAACCCCAATAAAATGATAATATTTTAGTTCCACCCCAATTCTCTGCCAAATAAAACCAAAAAGTATCTTACGTGACCATGACTTCACTACCTAATAATTTCCTTCTACCTTGTATTATAAGACCTTACTATTACTCTTCGAATCTTACTATCATAACCTAGCATTTTTCTCTAGGTTTTTTTTAGCGTTGTATTTAATTTTTCATTTTTCATCGATAGACGACCACATCACTTGTAATATTAACTGTCGGCCCCTGATTTTATTTATTTTTTCTTTATTTTATGTTGCATTTATATGTATTTTTGTTATTTTTAGTTTCTAATAATTATGTCTTTATAACACTCTTTATTATATATAATTTTATGATACATTTTCCTCTACCTTTATTATATGCTTTCACCAATCTTTACGGTATATTTTCTCTGTCTTTTTGTACATTTTTTTTTATCAATTTTGATGGATTGTTTTCGTTTATTTTCTTTGGGTTAGATTTGACGTATCTCAACTAATCAAGATGACACTTATTTATTATTATGTTGATCTTTCTTGCTTTGAACCATCGGATTGAATTTAGATACGCTATTTGTGTTCGTAGATAGTTTTCTCACAATGCTCGATTCTAATTTACTAGTATCGATGGTCTTTAGTAATTTGATCCCCTATTATAATTCGTTTTATCATGCAACCATATATGTTCGTATCTATCTTTTGATCGAACTTTTTGAATTTTTTTAAATCTTTTTTCTTGTTTAGTCATTGTATAATCTCAAATGACTAATTCTTTTATGTAAATGGTTATAAAATAATATTCTAATTATATGTTTAATTTACATTTATATTATAAATTCTAATATCTCTTTTTAATAAAATCGAAATCAATAATAACTTTATGGTTGTAGTGGTAGGAGTTTTGTCCTCGTAAGTGAAAGAATACAAGTGCAAATTAAACTCTTATCTTAAAATCGTTTTCGACCGACATAACCTAATATCTGAATATATTGATATAAGCTGATATAGTTGACACTCAAATTTAAATAGTTAGAACATCCTATTACCAACGGGCTGGTAGTGGTCACTGAAGTGTGCAACGGGGCCCAACTTGACGCAGAACCCATTTTATGCTGTTTTTAACCCATGAAATGAATACGTTGAAGTGGCCTGATGATTTGGTTTTGCTTCCTTTGCTATGCTTCAATTTCTGGTATAGTTTTTATATTTTAATTTAATCCTTTTATTTTTTTTAATTCTGTTAGCTACTTCAAATGATTAAAACTATTAATTATGTCATTTAAAATACTAATATGTATTTTTCTTAAGATGTCATTTTCAATAAAAAAATAAAAGAAATTCAAATCTCCATAGAGAGTCGTTGAAGCGTTTTAGGAAAATATTAAGTTTTATAAATTCATTTTTCTCTAAAATTTTAAAATTTTGTTTTCTCATATAACATTTTACGTTTGTTATTGTATATTACAATGATTAACAAATTTAAAACTATTTCCCCCCTTTTTCAAAATGAATTTAAAGGTTTATTACGGATATTGAATACAATAGTCATCTAATAAGGAAATTGTATTTTAAAGAGAGTTTTTATTTATTTTTGGTTGTCCTCTCGGTTTCTAAGGCTTCGTCTTGACTAATCCAGACCGACCCGAGTCATACACCTAACTGTGGTGAGTGAGTTTCTTAGCAGAGATTTTCTGTATACACAATGACTCAAACTCGAAACTTACTTAAGCGATATCAAGTTACTTACCACTTGAACCAACTCCGTTAAGTATTTTAAAGAAAGAATTCAAACATTAAAAAATAATATTATTAATAAAGACAATCATAAACTCCGAATATAGATCATTAACCTATAACAAATACATCTATTTGAAAAATATTAAATATATATATTTATGTATTTTATATAATAATGATATTTTGTTTCATCAACAAATTTAACTTAACGTCATTTGTCCTTAATTAAATAATATTATTAATAAGAAAGTTAGTGACTTAATGTAAATGAATTGTGTAAGATGCGATATGGTTTAATCTTAATCGTCTGTAATTTATTATAACATTGAATATAAGGACAATCAATTATAAATATATATAATATATATCATAATTATCTCATCATACAATCAAACATTCATTCAAATTTAAGGCGGCACACAGTATTAGTAAAATTATAGCCGCGTCACAATGTATGTATCATGTAGATTGATGTGTGTGATGTTTATAGATGTATAGTTTTGATGCTTTGTTGTACAAATAGTGAATGGGTGGTATGACATTTCATTATCAACTTTTTTGCCACATTACTTAAAATTGATTTCCCCAATCACATTTGATCAGCTTCAGCAAGCACATCTCCATGTCAACTTGTTTCATGAAAATGACCTATTACTTTGCATCTTATCTTTCTGCTCCAATGCATCTCTTGCAGCGCTCACACAAAATATATCTACTGCCACTAATTTTGTTCCCTTTCACTATCCCATCTATAAATAAATAAGTATGACACGAATTAAATAATTTTAATAGTTAAAGAATTATTATTATTTATTTAGATTTCGAATCAAAACATCATATATATATATATATATAAATGTTTAATATCAAATAATTTTGAGTATTTAGATATAATTTATATTTATCATAGACAAATTAAAAATAATAAATAAATCATGAATTGGTCCCAAGGCATCAAATGGTGATCTGGTCTGAGGTTTTAGACAGAGGAAAGAGTTAACATTTCACAATTCCCCACATCCATTTAATCCCCTAATTAATAACCAATCCGCCTCACTACTATTTTACTTTTATTTAAATAACTAAATCCAAATAATTCATTATTTTTCAATAAATATTAAATAATTTGAAATAATTTCAACAAGACGCATTCTTATAAACTATTCAAAATTTTAAATAATAAATTAGAACAAACATTCGTGTCCTAAAATACATGTTGAAATGCAATATCTCTGAAAATCACACAGTACAGATTTGACAAGATTTCTCATATGGAATGTGTGAGAAATAAATATTAATTATTATGCCCATAGAAAGACAGGGGGGCCCACATTTTAAAAAATCACCCCCCAATCACTTACACCAAAGGCCACCACACGGGAAGATCTTAGGGCATAGGATCAAAGTCTTCATGACCAAACTAATTATATTCTCCTTTTTCTTTTTGAAGAATAAATCAAACGGCTGAGAATGTTCCATCATCTTTGACCAACTTTTTTCAGATCTAATATTGTTAAATAATTATTTTAATTATTAATTTTTTAAAAAAATACAATAAATATTAAAGTTATAAGAAGATATTGTTATAAATTTATAATAAATATAAAAAAGAATAGTTTTAATGATTATTTTATAGAGGAACCAATTCAGTAATAGGTCTATTTTATCTTTTTGCTCGCTTTGATTCTACTAGTGGACTCCAACTGTTCGACACGTGTCTTTACTTTTTTCTTAAGTAAAAATGAGAAAAGAATCAACTTCGCCCCCCCGCTCCCCACGGTAACGCAACTAAATAGAGTGTGAAACAGCATAGTTTCAAAAACCCTACTCTACTATCCAATTAGAAACCTCCACGTAATACAGAAAACCTTATTGGAACAAACGTGGCATACAATCATTGGTCTAATGACTTGAAATCACTGTTTCTCTGTACTTTCGAGTTTGAGAGAGTTAAAACTTAAAAGAACAGAACCGCCTAAGTGACCGAAGTTTCTGTGTAAATTGTAAGTGAAAAAACATTGCGTAAAGACCCCATAGGAAGAAAAAAAAAACCGTAGTTTTGGGGGGTTTTCTTCAATACTTTATATTTATTTCTCCATCGTTGTTTCGCAGAGAAACATAGGCAAAAACCCAGAAGAATCAAAGAAAGGAGCAACTGAGAAAAGGCGCACGCTTGAAGGAAGGAGTCAAAATAAAAGAGAGAAACGGAAGATAACAGAATAGGCGTTGATAGACCGTGGAATCTAAGAATCACACACACAAAAAAGTTTAGGTGGGGGTTTTCTGTTTTTTTTTCTCATGAATTTTCCGTTTCTTCTCTTTTCAAATGAATCCCCGTCCTTAACTATATACTTCTTGCGTGTTTCCTGCGGTCTATCTACTCTTAATCTGTGTCTTCACTAACTCTTTTTATATCTCTCTTTTTTCTTTTACAGAATCTTTATAAAAACTCTTGCTTCTGTCAAAAACCTAATTAAGATCCTACTTATTCTCCCCCAGTTCTTTGTTCTTTCTTCTGGGTTTTCTTTATAGTTTTGGTTCTTGTTTATTTTCGGGTGTTTTACTCTTTGTTTATTGTCTTGAAGTGGGGAGTGTTTTAGTTCTGGGTAATTGATCAATGGAGGATGAGGGTAGGGTTTCTGGTGGCAACGGGTCATCTTACTGGTTGGATGCTTGCGAGGACATACCGTGTGACTTGATTAACGATTTTGTTGATTTCGATGCCCCTCTAGTCCAAGACTCAGTTGACAATACTTCCAGTCAAGATTTCTTTGGTGGGATTGATCACATTCTCGATAGCATCAAAAACGGCGGTGGCCTTCCTGCAGTGGAAAGTAACTGTAATAGCTCTGTTGTCAATGGAAACGGAAGTGGAATCCATGACTCCGTTGTAGGGGATGGATTGTGTACCAATGAGCTCTCTTTGGTTTCCAAGAATCTGCCTGAGAACTTGGTTCCAACACCTAATGGTGTTGAAAAGAACAACATTGAAAGCAAAGGGCAGGAGAAGAACTGTGATGGTAGTAATTCGAATTTGTCTGATTACTCTACTAAGGATAATGGAGTTCATCGAGATGATAAAAGGTCATCTGAGTCAAGGGATAGGGGTTTAGATAGTGAAGAGAGATGTGGCAAGAGGGCTCGTACGAAAGGCTGCAGGAGTGATAGGCAGTATTCTAGTAGAGGTCAGTATTACCCCAAGGAAAGGGAGAGATCTTCTGCTCGAAAAAGGGTTCGTGATTGGGATGATATCGTTAGGAGAGATAGAGAGCATGTTAGGAGAAGAGAACATTATTATGGTGGTAATAGGAGGGATGGGAGAGATAGAGAACCAAGGGGTTATTGGGAGAGGGATCGGTCAGGTTCCAATGAGATGGTTTTTAAGTTGGGAACTTGGGAAGCAGATCAGCAAAAAGAAGCGAAAGCGGCTAATGAAAAAACTCAGGAGTCCAATGGAAAGTTGGAGAAGAAAGTTGAACAGCCAAAGGAAAAAGGTTTGGAGGAGCAAGCTCGTCAATATCAATTGGATGTTCTTGAACAGGCAAAAAGGAAAAACACAATTGCATTTCTTGAAACAGGGGCAGGGAAGACACTCATTGCTGTTCTCCTCATCAAAAGTATTGCTGATGATTTACAAAAACAGAACAGAAAAGTGCTCTCTGTCTTTTTGGTTCCCAAAGTTCCACTAGTTTACCAGGTAGTAGAATTTGTAGAAGTTTAATGTTCTTTTAAGATTTGTCGGTTCTGTTGTTTCCGAGTTTAGTTCCGATTATCTTTTATTTGCATTTTCCAGCAAGCTGAAGTTATTCGTGAGCGAACTGGTTTCCAAGTAGGCCATTATTGTGGGGAGATGGGTCAGGATTTCTGGGATGCTCGTAGGTGGCAGCGTGAGTTTGAAACAAAACAGGTAGCTTCTCAATTTCTTTTTGTGAAAATTCCTGCATTACCTTCATTTGAGCTTTTCTTCAATGTTCTAAGTAATTTCCTTAATCCTTATTGTAATGCTAGTCGGCACTAAAGCAAATTGCAGTATGTTACTTTAGTAACTTGTAGATCTGACAATATAATGAGCGTTGCAAAATGTTATAGGTTCAATATGTGCTAATACTTTTGCTATTGCCCAGCTTCACCTCTTCAGTTTAGTTGTAAATTTCTGATTTGGGATTTTGCTCAATTTTGTTGAAGGAATGGGATGATATTGATATAGTTTTCAAATCTAGCAAGATCCTTGTACGCCTACTGTATTGTATTGGAATCAAGTGGTAGTAATAATATTGGTATACTATTATCCCATTTAGAAAATAAAAAAAAGAGGGGAAAGAAGGTAAAGCCCTTATTAGAACATTTGACTAAAAGGAGCTTTAATGGATATAAATTAAAAAAAAAAACTCTCTTGACAAGGTATTATGTACTGCCAAATTCTTGTCAGTCTGTATGTAATTGAACAATTTTTAGTCGACTGTCTAGCATCCATATCCCAGAATGGTTTTATCATTGCGCTAGGCTTTGGGAGATGTTGATTTTGCATATATGATTTTGTGTATATAATTTGCTGAATTGATGTTTTCTTGCAGGTTTTGGTTATGACAGCGCAAATTCTGCTGAATATTTTGAGGCACAGCATAATTAAAATGGAAGCAATCAATCTTCTTATTCTGGATGAGTGTCATCATGCTGTGAAGAAACATCCGTATTCACTGGTTATGTCTGAATTCTATCATACAACACCAAAGGAGAAGAGACCTTCTGTTTTTGGGATGACTGCTTCTCCTGTTAACTTGAAGGGTATATTTTTATTTTCTAGCGATGGCTTCTTCGAATTTATATTTCATCAAGACTAAGGGCGTCTCACACTCTCTTGAAAAATTTTCTTTCAGTTTATTGTAAGAATTCCACCCCCCTAAACATATTTTTGAATATATTCAGGTGTTTCAAGTCAAGTCGATTGTGCAATAAAGATTCGTAATCTAGAAAGCAAGCTGGATTCTGTAGTCTGTACAATAAAAGACCGCAAGGAACTTGAGAAACATGTGCCAATGCCCTCAGAAGTTGTGGTAGAGTATGACAAAGCAGCCAGTTTATGGTCCCTTCATGAACAAATAAAACAAATGGAAAAGACAGTTGAAGAAGCGGCACAGTCGAGCTCTAGAAGAAGTAAATGGCAGTTCATGGGAGCTAGAGATGCAGGAGCCAAGGAAGAGCTTCACCAAGTTTATGGTGTATCTGAAAGAACAGAAAGTGATGGAGCTGCTAATTTGATACAAAAGTTGAGGGCCATTAATTATGCACTTGGTGAATTGGGTCAATGGTGTGCTTACAAGGTATTATCTCTTAAAGTAATTAAGTTATTTTAGTGGTTGTGCAAAAATGATCTTGGTTCTTTTGTTTTCCTTTTCGCAGGTTGCACAGTCATTTTTGACAGCATTACAAAATGATGAGAGGGCAAACTACCAGCTTGATGTCAAGTTTCAAGAATCTTACCTAAACAAAGTCGTTTCTCTCTTACAATGCCAATTATCGGAGGGAGCCGTTGCTGAAAAAGATATGAACATTGCAGAAGCAGAGAGATGTAATGCTCAAGATGGGACTGACCCTGACGAGATTGAGGAAGGAGAGCTCCCTGACAGTCATGGTGCATCTTTTGTTTAATTGTCTACTTTTCTCTTGTTACTTTGCCAGCACAATTTGAGGCTGATTTGTTCCTGATTTTGAAAAACTGATTTATCAACTAAAGGCTGAATATAGGCAATCGGCTTAAACTTACCTAGATGATTCAAGACAAAGTGATCTTTGCTAACTTTGAATATGTACTTGTCACAAAATTAAGTAAAAGATACCACATGCATTGCTGACTTGCTTGTGCTTTGTTTTTTTGTCTTCCTAAGGAATTTTTTTATCATCTAAGGTATTTCTAAACAGAAGATAATTTAAGAACATTTTGGTGTGTATTCTCAACTCATGTAACGTTTTCTCACAGTTGTCTCCGGTGGAGAGCATGTGGATGTGGTAATTGGAGCGGCTGTAGCAGATGGTAAAGTGACCCCAAAAGTACAGTCCTTGATTAAAATACTACTCAAGTATCAGCACACGGAGGATTTTCATGCGATCATCTTTGTTGAGCGAGTTGTGGCTGCTTTAGTTCTTCCTAAGGTAAAAGGATTGACTTGTTTTATCATGTTCAATGATATATTTCATCCCTTTGCAGTACCCTAGTAATGAAGTTAAATCTTTTTGAATGAACAGGTTTTTGCTGAGCTTCCATCCCTGGGTTTCATCAGGTGTGCTAGTTTGATTGGGCACAACAATAGTCAAGAAATGCGGACTGGACAAATGCAGGATACAATTGCTAAATTCCGCGATGGTCGTGTATGTTCATATCTCATGTTTCCTCACTACAGTTGATGAAAGATCTGAATCATGGAATTGTAGACGTTTGCTAAAATATTTTTTTTCTTTCTGCTGTTAGGTGACATTGTTAGTTGCGACTAGTGTTGCTGAGGAAGGATTGGATATTCGGCAATGCAATGTTGTTATTCGTTTTGATCTTGCGAAAACTGTTTTGGCATATATTCAGTCTAGGGGTCGTGCAAGGAAGCCTGGGTCAGATTACATCTTGATGATTGAGAGGTACTTGTGTTGGGTTTGGTCTTTAAGCATTTTCTTTCTGCCATAATTGATCAGACAAACTTGACTTTTGTATTGTCTACAGAGGAAATGTATCACATGCTACATTCCTAAGGAATGCAAGGAATAGTGAGGAGACCTTGCGGAAAGAAGCAATTCAGAGAACTGACCTTAGTCATCTGAAGGATACTTCGAGGTTGATTTCAGTGGATAGGGTGCCAGGTATGGTGTACCAGGTCGAATCAACTGGTGCTATCGTTAGCTTAAATTCTGCTGTTGGACTTGTTCATTTTTACTGCTCTCAGCTTCCCAGTGACAGGTATTGTACTCATTATAAGATATGGACATTTTTTGCTGTTTCTTTTGTCGTTTGTTCATTTACTTTGCCATCTCTTTTGGCTTTTAGATATTCAATACTCCGTCCCGAGTTTATCATGAAGAAGCATGAGAAGCCAGGGGGTCCAATTGAATATTCTTGCAAGCTTCAGCTCCCATGTAATGCACCATTTGAAGAGCTTGAGGGTCCCATGTGCAGTTCTATGCGTCTTGCCCAGCAGGCATGCTGTCTTGCCACTATCTACTTCTTTATCAAACATATAATAAATGGTATTCCTCATATTGATAACATTTGTAACATGTAGGCTGTATGTTTGGCTGCTTGCAAGAAGCTCCATGAGATGGGAGCATTTACTGATATGCTCTTGCCAGACAAAGGAAGTGGCGAAGAAGCAGAGAAGGCTGAGCAGAATGATGAAGGAGACCCACTTCCTGGAACTGCTAGACATAGAGAGTTCTATCCTGAAGGTGTAGCAGATATACTCCAGGTTAGTGTCCTCCATGGATTTGACTTCCCATGACCATCAATGTTCTTTTATCTTATTTTCAATTTATTGCTTGCTCATGTTAATATACATACTGATACATATGTCTATTTTTCTTTACTGTTGCTTGTATGACACCTTATTTCAATACATATCTGATGTGGTTAGGGAATAAAACAGCAACAATAGAAAGAAATAAGGCTGGACAAATGATTAGGGAGATGGAACTTTAGAAAACTTAGGGTTTTAAAAAAAGCTTCTAGTTTCTTTATAATAATCAAAAGAAATTAATAAGAACAATTGTTTTGGCCATAAAGCCTAGAACTTATTTATATAGGCTAGCGTTCTTGCAATGAAAGTTTAATCATAACCCTAGATCTAAACCCTAAAGATACTAAAAAAATACTTAACTGCCCTAGCCTTGGCCATCTATCATAAATAAAATAACTAATAAATATTATAAAATAAAACTGAAATAATAAAATGAAGTACTACAAAATTATGCCCCTGCAACATTGTCTGCATATGAAAGTGCAAAATGCCTTTTCTTTTGTTCTTGTTAAATAGTAGTACGAGGTCTTTCAAAAAAAAAATAGTAGTATGAATTGGTGTTTGCATACATTGGTTGCCGAACATCCTTATGAAAAGTAATGCCCGACTTTGGCTTGTAAATCATAGACAAAACGAGGATCATAATTTGCAATCTGGCATTTATATTTGATTGCATGAGAATTAGATTCATTGCCGCCAATATTGGTGAGACTAAAGTCTAGTAGAGATGTATTGTAAAGGGATTTGCCTACTTTTGTTTTTATGGGTAAAGATGTTGTGGGAGAAACAAACATGTCCTTTAACTAATATGCATTTTAGTTTGCAAGTTTATTGAAAAGTTTCCTTGTCCACAGGGAGAATGGATATTATATGGAAGAGATGGCGCTGATGACTTGAAACTAATTCGTCTCTACTATTATACAATCAAATGTGTAAATAATGGCTCTTCAAAAGATTCATTCTTAACTAAAGTCTCAGATTTTGCAGTACTTTTTGGAAAAGAGCTGGATGCAGAGGTAATTTTGTTTGTTTTTATGTTAAGCATAACATGCATTTGGTAAATAGGATAGTAATTTCGAATAGCATCCGTCTGTTTAGGTGTTATCGATGTCGGTGGATCTATTTATCGTTCGAGCCATGATAACCAAGGCATCTCTTGTCTTCAGGGGATCAATAGATATTACTGAAAGTCAGGTGAGTTGCTGTTTAATTTGTTTGGATAATGATTACAATTTGTGGTTTTTATGCTGTTTTTACTTTAGATTATACTTATGATATAGCTCACAAGTCTGCTTATGTGCAGCTGGCATCCCTTAAAAGTTTTCATGTAAGACTGATGAGCATTGTACTGGATGTGGATGTTGATCCTTCCACTACTCCTTGGGATCCTGCCAAGGCATATTTGTTTGTCCCTGTGGTTGGCGATAAGTGTGTAGATCCTATAAAGGAAGTTGATTGGGATTTGGTTGATAATATAATCACTACAGATGCATGGAACAATCCCCTTCAGAGAGCTAGGCCAGATGTTTTCCTTGGAACAAACGAGAGGACGCTTGGTGGCGACAGAAGGGAGTATGGATTTGGGAAATTGCGTAATGGCCTGGCTTTTGGGCACAAACCTCATCCTACTTATGGTATCAGAGGAGCCGTAGCCCCATATGATGTTGTTAAAGCGACTGGGGTGGTTCCTAGTCGTGATGTGCTTGAGGTACAAGAAGGGGATTTGACCAAAGGAAAATTGATAATGGTTGATGGCTTCACACATGCAGATCATCTTGTTGGAAGAATAGTAACAGCTGCTCATTCAGGGAAGAGGTTTTATGTAGATTCAATATGCTATGACATGACAGCAGAGACCTCCTTTCCGAGGAAAGAGGGCTATCTTGGTCCTCTAGAGTACAGCTCATATGCTGATTACTATAAGCAGAAGTATGAATTTGACATTTCTTACCTTTATAATTCCTTCTTTCTTCCCTACATATTAAAATTAGAAGTAACAATTGGCTGCCTATTAATTGCTGCTTCTCTTTAATGGATGAGATGACCTAAATGCAACTTCAGTTGTGCGTGAAGAATAGAAAAGCATGTCTTACACCGTGAGGGACATGGTTGACTACTTTTGGGTGTAGAATATGTGAGCTTTTGTCACATGCTACCTGATAGTAGTGAATGTCCTTACAGATCAGATATGCTTTTTGTTTCTTCCCGCACAACAGAGTGTGCATTAGGCTATTGAGTCCTGTCTATATTGTTACCAGGTATGGAGTTGAGTTGAGATACAAAAGGCAAGCTTTAATAAGAGGTCGTGGTGTTTCATACTGCAAGAATCTCTTGTCTCCTCGATTTGATCACTCAGAAGGTATATTTACCAAATATCTTCATGCATCTAGATGTACTATGTTGCTATGGTCCTTTTGTTGCTTAACGTAATATGTTTACCATATGAAGGTGAATCAGAGGAGGCTGTTGACAAAACATACTATGTTTTTCTTCCTCCTGAGCTGTGTTTTGTCCATCCACTTCCTGGATCACTTGTTAGAGGTGCCCAGAGATTGCCCTCTATTATGAGGAGGGTTGAGAGCATGCTTCTTGCAATTCAACTTAAGCACATAATACAATTTCCAGTCCCTGCTTCAAAGGCGTGATATATTCTCTGGCTGGTCACTTTTGAGTAGCTTTCAGATGATAGCGGACTTTTAATAAATTTACTTTCTTTTGTATATTCAGATTTTGGAAGCTTTGACTGCCGCTTCATGTCAGGAGACATTTTGCTATGAAAGGGCAGAGCTTCTGGGGGATGCTTACTTGAAATGGGTTGTTAGTCGCTTTTTGTTTCTTAAATATCCCGATAAACATGAGGGACAACTGACCAGGATGAGGCAACAAATGGTGAGTAACATGGTATTGTATCAATATTCACTAAACAAGGGACTTCAATCATATATCCAAGCGGATCGCTTTGCACCATCTAGATGGGCTGCTCCTGGGGTATTGCCTGTCTTTGACGAGGATACAAAAGATGGAAACACGTCCTTATTTGATCCAGAACATGCAACTGTTGATGTTTTACCAGGAAAAGTAAATGGTGACGGGTTTGACGATGATGATATGGAAGATGGTGAGATTGAGAGTGACTCAAGTTCTTATAGAGTCCTCTCTAGCAAGACCTTAGCAGACGTTGTTGAAGCGCTAATTGGAGTATATTATGTTGAAGGTGGCAAGAGTGCAGCTAACCACCTCATGAAATGGATTGGGATCCAGGTGGAGTCCGATCCTGTTGAGATGGAATCTATATTGAAGCCATCCAGTGTTAAAGAAACCATACTTAAGAGTGTAAACTTTGATGCCTTAGATGGTGCATTGAACTTAAAGTTTAAAAATAAGGCCTTGTTGGTAGAAGCTATAACTCATGCTTCACGTCCAGCATCTGGAGTATCCTGCTACCAGCGTTTGGAGTTTATTGGTGATGCAGTCTTGGATCATCTTATCACGAGACATCTATTTTTCACATACACCAATCTGCCTCCAGGCCGCTTGACTGATTTGCGAGCTGCTGCTGTAAACAATGAAAACTTCGCACGTGTTGCGGTAAAGCATCAGCTGCATGTGCACCTTCGGCATGGATCAAGTGCTCTTGAGAAACAGGTTTGCTGTCTGTTTCCTTCATTTTTTCATATGTAATGGATGGTAGTTTTAACCCCCCAATCAACTTGCTTTTCTGGCACAAAGGTAGGTTTCTCCTGACTTTGGTATTGTTGGTTTCTGTTTCAGATTCGGGAATTTGTGAAGGAAGTTCAGGACGAGTTATTAAAGCCAGGGTTCAACTCATTCGGTTTAGGAGATTGCAAAGCTCCAAAAGTACTTGGAGATATTGTTGAATCCATTGCTGGTGCCATTTTTCTTGACAGCGGACGTGACACTGCAGTTGTCTGGAAGGTTAGTTTGGGAATGAATTTTTTGCTCCTCCCTACTTCTCTTACAGCAAACAAGGTATCTGATAAGGAAAAAAATTTGTTCTTGCTTTCCAGGTTTTTCAACCTCTGTTGCATCCCATGGTGACTCCAGAGACATTGCCAATGCATCCTGTCCGGGAACTACAAGAGCGATGCCAGCAACAAGCTGAAGGCTTGGAATACAAAGCCAGTCGAAGTGGCAATTTGGCTACTGTGGAGGTTTTCATAGATGGTGTCCAAGTGGGAGTTGCTCAGAATCCCCAAAAGAAGATGGCACAGAAACTAGCTGCAAGGAATGCGCTTGCTGTCTTGAAGGAGAAAGAAACAGCTGAAGCTAAGGAGAACGCTGAGGAAAATGGGAAAAAGAATGGCAACCAAACATTTACAAGACAAACATTGAATGATATCTGCCTTCGTCGAAACTGGCCTATGCCCTCCTATCGGTAAGAAATTAGAGCCGGTACCTTTTCTTCCTTTTGTACTTGGACAACAGAGATAACTGATATATTGTATTTTTAGGTGTGTGAGTGAAGGGGGGCCGGCCCATGCAAAGAGATTTACGTTTGCTGTCAAAGTTAATACCAGTGACAGGGGGTGGACCGATGAATGTGTAGGCGAGCCAATGCCCAGTGTTAAGAAGGCTAAGGACTCTGCTGCGGTGCTTCTCTTGGAACTCTTAAACAAATGGTATTCATCATGACCATATTGAGGACAATGATTATTTTGGTACATTGTTCCCAAACTCTTTTTTTAATAGCCCCCTATTGGTCGTGGGGTGTATCACACAATTCATAGGTTTTTATCCCCTATTGGTCGTGGGGTGTATCACAATTCATAGATCTTTATTCCCCTGTTGGTTGTGGGGTGTATAATTTAGAGTTGTCATTCATAAATGTTATGCTTTTGTGGGGAAAAAAAGAAGCTAGAACCAAATGACGTCTAATTTTGCATGAATTGTTTTTGACTAAAAATATAATGGGGGAATAACCCCGAATCATATCATAACATGGTGAAATTTGAATCTTGAATCTCATTGACTACGTTCTACCGTATTCGTTTGATCAAAAGAACTAAAACTGTACCACCTAGACCAATTGAAAATGGAAACATATATTGAATATCTCAGTGGCTTTATAATTTAACAAGGTGCTAGGAGATTAACGTTGAAGCTGATAAACACCAAATATTTTGAAATCAAATTCTAGTAGTGATACAATTCCAATTATAATTTCTTGTCAAATGACAGTTTAATCCAACGCGAAATGGCTATCGTTCAGAACGCCTCTTTTCCCAGCCTATCGCCTCAGGGTTTGCACGATGTATTCCGCATAAAGATCCCTGCACCATGTCAACACAATAACCTCAGTAGAAGCGTAAGAAAATTGCATAGTAATAAATGACCAAGGATGTATGAACCAAAAGTGAGAATGTCCATAGCTTTTGACATAGGAATTCCCTATATGATTTTGCATAACCATCCTTGGAAGTGCAATTGTTATTTTTCAAGGCATACATTGAATACTGGACAGCTTCAACAGCAGCGGTTGCTGGTAAAAACTCGTCGACTGCAACCTCCTTGTTCTCGTTTTTTTTGTCTGTGCAATGTTAAGAAAGCAGTAATCCTCACACCAGGGAACAAAACCAAACATTCTTTTGATAAACACATGAAACATTGAGAGTTGAGTTTGTAATTTGAGATTGAAAAGGATACAGTCTTCAAAAAAACGACGGATCTCAGTCAAGCGATGGGGGGGAAGATCTTTGATGTCATTGTAATGCTTGTATTCCGGATCATCAACGCAAACTGCAATGATCTTATCATCTCTCTCCCCCTGGGTGAGAATTATGAAGCATATATCACACAAACTGAATGGAGTAACTGTCAAAAGGTTAGCTTTAAACTTCAGTGAAATACCTGGTCAATCATGGGCATTAATCCAAGGGCTCTGGCTCGCAGAAAACATCCAGGAAGAACAGGCTCCTATTTGAAGAAATAAAATAATTTGAGTACTTGTAGATCACTATTGATATGCAGCAGTCAAGTGTTATGGCACAATACACTTAATGAAAGATATAAGTCACGGTATTCCTTAGCAGCTCAGGTGGTAGAAGCAATGGTTAACAATGAAACAGTTAAGATTCTTTATAGTGATTAAATTATGAGTAGTGCATATTAACATTCAGGAATAAGTTGTTGGGAATTTTACTAGTAAGTTACCTGCATGATAATCAAACAATCCATGGGATCATTGTCTTCACATAGTGTGCGAGGGATAAAACCATAGTTGTGAGGGTAGACCACAGATGAATATAAAATCCGGTCGACCTGATATTCATTTTAACAGTAAGAAAATATTACCATGTCGCAAGATATGCAAGAAACGGAAAACTAGGGAGGACCATGACTCTATTATGAGAAGTAAATTCTTCTCTTGTTAAAAATTTCCAGTTCTCGGCCGAAATAGAGGCAAATGTTCAGATAAACAGGAAAAAAACTGGAAATCTTTGGGAGACGTGAAAAGCCTTGGCCTAGTAGCTGAGGAACAGGTTATAGGAATCTCTTATCTTCAAAGATGCAAATATTTCCATACCTTGATCAATCCAGTTTTCTTATCAAGTTCATACTTGACCTTACTACCTTTTGGTATCTCGACAACCTGTACAGTTGAGTTGAACAAGAAATTCAATCAGCAAACAAGATGTGCTAATATGAGTGAATTAACAAGTTGGGGATACAATTGGATTCATATTGTTTAGACTTGTTAAAATTAGAAAGAATGCATACACAGTTGAAAATGTTTGGAGCTTCAGGTCCTGCAGACAATATTTTCGATACAGGTCAGTTCCCCACTCTGATTATTCATTAGGAGAATATTAGCTATAACATTAAATCTGATTATTCATTCATTATATAAATACCAATCTCAAGATCATGCCAAGGATGTGCGGCAACTGATCTCCGCGATATAGACGAAAGAATCCTCTCGTTTAGGCGGGGTGGTTTACGCGGAGTTTCCACTTGCTGTACTTCATTTTTATCTTCTCCGTTCATCTTTTTCACAAGAAGAATAGGTTGCATCAACATTAAAAAACTATATGTTTTTCCATTGCTCAGATAATAAATGCCATGCAACTGACAGAATAGATCGCAAAAAAGATGGCAAAAACATAAGCTACCATGATCTTCAAGAGTAAGGCAATAATCTAATAATAGATCAACATCTCTATCTGAAGTTCATAACAAAATAATATACCCTCTTAAAAGTCAAAACAATTTTACACAAACAAAATTACTTTACAGTTTACACCAAGAATCACCCAAAAAGAGTGCAGAAAAATGATATAAATGATCCAATACACTCTGCTTTAACGACACCCATAGGTGTTTTATGCTTATTTATCATTGTATCAGAAAAGATGGTTACTTTATTTTATAGTACTATTGATCTATATTAAAGCTGCTGCAACAATCAAGTACAAGACAATAATCGCAAGAGAAAAAAGGAAGCAACTTTCTTAAATATCCGATTCTTCCTTCTAATGCTTTGCAAAGTTTTTTGCTAAACCAAAGTCCAAAGCTTGCTCATAAGTTGTTCTAGTAAAGGATTGAATAAGATCCAATAAAAGGAACGGCCATGGAAACACAAGCTGATAAAGAGTAAACGTTTGATCTATGAAAATAGAGAAAGCGATAAAAAGAGTTCAGTAGAAAATGGAAGAAACGTACCTTGGTTAGGGTTTTGGAGTGGAAGCAGGGAGAAAAAGTCTTATTATTGAGGGAAGGGAATACAAAGTGGTGCTTGAAACTTGTAGTTAAATAGATAAAGTATTTAAAGCATGGAGTCTTGAAAAGGTTGTTTCAAGAACATGGGAGACAATAGGTTGGGTTGGCCCTTGATTTTAGGCAATGGCTCGTGTCTACAGCTGACAAAATAAGGGTTTCGTTTCAAATAAGAAATTTATTTATTTATTTGCCACTCTCCAATTACTAGCATTTTAGAAATAAAAGTCAATTTAATTGTAAAAAATATAGCTTAATCTCATATTCCTTTTAAATTACTTTTTGGGTTAACTATACACGATATCTTTGAGCGGATGGACATGAGTCGGATTTAGGTTGAATTTCGGTCAATCATATTTGATCTAAAAATTTTACAACCTTCACCCGACTCGACCTGACCCGAACACAACTTGATTTTTTGAAATAAAATTCAAATTCGATCCGATCAGACTCGAAATAATAAAAAATATTTTTATTTAATAAAAACAATGATTTAATTGAAAAAAAATAATATATAGAGATGTTATTGTAATTATTCTTAAATATATAAGGTAAAATATTTTTTCCGGATTAGATATTTTTCACCCTAAACTCGAATCCGATATGAACCCGAAATTAAAAAAAAACCCGACCCGATCGGGCTCGAGTCCCCTATTTGAGCCTTGGGCAATGTATTTTTTATATCATTAAATTTTAAATTGCATTAATTAAAGTATTAAATTTTAATTTTGATTATAATTATATCGATCGTTAAATTTAATAATATGATAACAAAGATAGATTTTTTTAACATTGTGATGACTCAACAAAACAATGTAGTTTTGGCACAATTATAGATGTTCAAAATGATGTTGTTTTGAGTGCTGAACTTTATGTATGTATTGATTGTTTGACGTGTTAATATTTCGATCTCTTTCGTAACCATTCGATGAGGTTAGTTTTGAAGTATATTTTTTTCTTTTTGAAATAATGTTTATAACTATTCAGACTTTTAAACAAACACCTCAAACCTCTCAAATCAAAAAAGTCTTAAAACCCCTAAAAATGGTAAAGTTTTGTTTTGTTTGTTTGTCTAATTCCATTGACTTTAGTTAGTTTCCGTGGAAAATAAGTCATAAAAAAATGAAAGAAGAGTCAAATACGAATGTCTTGATACATATCTTATTATAAAAGACGATTGGTGATAGGTGGTGATTCACTACCAACGGTGGCCAAAAAAATATGGTGCTAAAGAATCTATTGTTTAAAAGTTTATACCCAAAACTTTTAGTGTCTAGATATTTTTTTTGTAAAAAATATGTCTTACGTTTTCAACGTTACACTTTTAGGTATTTAAACTATAATGTCATTAAATTCGACTGTTATGTGATACATGTCGTTACTATATCTTTAAAAAAAATATTTTCTTAAAAGTAAAATTAATATTTTTTATTAAAAGAACTTATTTTTAAGGCGATTACAACTCAAATACATAAAAATATAATGTAAAAAATGTTAGACACCTAAAGATAAAACGTTCGAAACGTTAGACACCTGCTTTTTAATGAAAAAATATTTAAACACCATAAATTAACTGAGTATATTTTGGACACTTATTTTTACATTAAGATAATATCGATACACTCAATGTTTAATGTCTAAAATAATTGTTTAAGGTTTCATGGTTTTGTTTATGTTATCATGTCATTTGGAATTTAACGACCCAGTTATGTAAACGATTTTAACCTCTAAGATTACTAATAACAAGGGAAGCAATGCTGAACAAATGTTCTCCAGCGAGATCACCTTTCCCTGGGAATACAAGAAGAAGTAATAACATTACATGTATCTGTTACCATATGTGTATACTGAAACCCTTCTTCCTGCTCAGGGAATAAGGTCTCCCCATCATATTGAACAACTCGGAGATTTCCATGAGGAATCGCATTGAGAGTTGTTGACTGAACCAAATCTCGAATAATCTAGTTTTCCTGCAGGATTTTAAGGATATGAGCCTTCTCATGTACAGAGACGCCAGTAGTCCTTCTATGAAGAAGATGAATTCTCATGTTATTTGAGAATAACACCTGCAACGCCTCCATGGCGATCTCATACCTCAACCATGAAGCGAAGCGAAGCAAAAACTAAAACACACTAGAAAATTTATACAATTGATGTAGTTTTTCCTGTATTTCAGGTGACAAAAGAAGGTGATTACTAGCATCAGAAAGTATTTCTATATGGCGGGGGAAATAAAAAATATACATGCATTTCAATTTGCTCATCACAAATTACCAAAATACATTGTCTTATTCTGGTCAGAAAATTTGTGCTAACAAAATGAAACAAGCTAAGCTCCCACAAGTTGATGCTGCAACACCTCATCTCAGCAGCATTCTCAACCCACTTCAGCTGCTTCCTGTTATTTCTTTGTATGTGTCGCTTATTTTCTGCACCAGAGCTTCCCTGAAGTTTAAACAAGAAGAAATTAATACCATCAAACTGTATAAATCACCCCTTTTTTTATGTTAAAATTGAGACTTGCCTGTCTGGTTTGAAAATAAGGTTCTTGTATGCAAACCACTGCAAGGATACATAAACAGTAAAAGAATCATAAGAAAGTGGGAAATTCCCAGACATAATGCTTTGATCTTCCTACTAAACTTGAATGAAACCGGCTTACCGCGGTGTAACCGATACCGACGAGCTCCAGAATGACAGGAATCAAAGGAAGCCTGTCAATTGCCTGTTACAGATAACACTCCCAGTTTTAACAAATTAAATTTTCAAGTGCTTAATCAGTTGACACAAATCTGCAGTTTTAAGAATCTCACCGAGATTATTCCAGTAGAGCCCCATAGGGCAACTACAACGACTAAAGCAAGTGTACTCACAGCATACTTGTCCTCAACTCTATCCCACTGGAAAGTGAAAACCAAATCATACACATGTACATGTATAGTAATAGGAAAAGAAATGAACAAAAAGAAACAAAACTCTTACGGCTTCTTGAACTATCTTGGTAATCTCCGGCGTCTCAGTTGTTGTTGTTACCAGTTCCGTTGGAGTTTCGGTTGTTCTTGCTACCACTTCCGTTGAAGCCTCAGTACCTGTGGCCATAACCACCACATTCCGTGCCATATTTTGATCTGAAGAAAAGGGTAAAACTTAAAACTCCATTTGATATAGTGCTTGAGTACAATATGAAATATGTATGTGACATGGTTTTCATTAGAACTTACAGTAAAGAGTCTTCATGGAGGGACGAATCTGGGACTGAAAGGTGAGAGGAGGAAGAGTGAGACACTGTGGCGATGAAGCAAGAGGTTTTTGACGAGCTAAAGCCTTGTGATCAACGAAGGTAGACGAGGAAGAGAGTGATAATGCAGTGGAGGAAGCTGAAGCCATGGCTTGCAGTTGTGGTCAGTAGCAGAGCATGAAATGGAAGAAATGAAGCAACTTGGGTTTGAAAATATGTTATAGATATAATATTTGGAAAGAGATGTGGAGAAGATTTGTTTTCCACATTTGCAGCCATGGAAACCACTCGTTGGGTTGATCTAGATGGTGCTGAGATGGCGGGTGGATAGCCAATTTATGGCGTTTCATTGGATAGAATGCTCCACCTTGGCCCACTGTTATGCTAAATCACTTGATTTGTTCATCTTTTTAAATCTCTCAAAATACTAACCAGATATCTTTAGTCAAAATCTCTAATTCAATTTCCATTTGTTTTAAAAAAAATTAATAACGTAGAATTACATTTTTATCCTTTAATTTTTAATATTTCTGTCTTAATTAAAATAGCTATTTTGAATGAAAATAGTTAGTTAACTAATAATTAATTATATCATGTCAATAAATATTTTTTATATAATAATTTAATATTATCCAATAAAATGAAAACATATATCATCATCTTATTACTAGAAAATAAAAATATATACATTATATTTAACGGATTGAACTAAAAATAATTGAGAAAAAAGTTCAATTCTTTACCACTACAATTAATTAAGAAATTATCATATTATTGACAAGATTAATATATATACGTTGAACTTTAGTTGAAATTATTTTATATTATAAATATATTTTTATTAATATTATATTTTAATAAAAGTAGATAATTAGTTTTAATTATTGTTTAAATTAAATATTAATTTTATCAACGATATATCAGTTTTTAGTTTGACATAGTGGTTACGCATTTAACTTCTTTTTGAATTATTTTTTATTCAAGTCCCTAAATGTAATTTATATTTTCTTCATTTTTTACTAATAAGAATATAAGATGATGGTATATAATATTATTTTATTAGATAATATTAACTAAATAATAAATGTTTACTTACGTGATATAGCCGACAATTAATCAAATAATGATTTTAGATTTAATTAAAATTCATTATTTTGAACAAAATTACAATGTTAAGCATTTAAGGGGGTGTTTGGTGGGAATCCCACATTCCCATGTTTGGTTGGCCGGGAATCTCATTCCCGGTAATGTTTTATTACCAATAGTAGATTTTTTTGGGTATATTACCGAGAATGTCATTATCTCCCTTCCCTTAGGTATTGTAACATTACCGGCATTTTGGACTAAAATGCCCTTAAAATTTTATTTTTTTTCAAAAATATCCTTCTTATGTCATTAAATAATAAAAATTCTACGAAGGTTAAATTACAAATTTATCCTTAAATTATTTTAGATTTACAAAAAAAATCTATAATTAAAATTTTATATGAAGTTCAGGGGTTAAATTTTTTTTATCATTTCATTAAACATTTTTTATATTTTTAATTTTGTAAAAAAATTATATAAATATTATGAATTTAATTTTTTTAAAGAAAAATATATAAATATTTTACAATTTGTAATATTATACAAATATATAATAAGGACAATTTGGTCAAATATACATTCCAATAATCTTTTATTCCTTTAACCAAACATGGTAATCTTACATTCCTGCTAAACCAACCAAACACAAAATGCAACATTCCCCGTAATCCTATTCCCTGGTAATCTTTTATTCCCACTGGTAATCTTACATTCCGTGAACCAAACGCACCCTAAGTATCTAGAAAGTAGGGAATAAAATAATTATTCAAACAAACATTAAGGTTAAATTTTGATATTATATCTTTCAAATTCCTACTAATATTATATTTTAAATTCCTACCAATATTATTTGATAAAGAAATATAAAAGGAGCAATTTATGAGAATAATATTCATTTTATCTATTTTTAATTAAAATAAAAGAAAATGTTATTAATTTCTATTTTGGTCACATAAGATGAGTTATCAAATAAATATGTCTTATCGAAGGCACGTATATCTGAAAGTGCCATTGGTCTACGTGACCGAAATAGAGGAAGATGCTTCTAGCTCACAACGCCTTCTACTAAACCCATCTCAATGTACACCAGTTTTATATTTTTTAAAATAATTAAATAAATTTTTAATATTATAATAAATAGGGTAAATTTTATTTTAAATGTCTAACATTCTACTTATTCTCCGTTTAGGTCTAAAATAGTTGTCAACTCTATTAAAATCAATTCTAACTATTAACTACTTAAAAGATTATATTCAAATCATCATAAATCCATTAAAATTTTGAATTAATATGTACTTTTTTTAATTTTGATTAATTTTACCTTGATTCGAAAGTGAATTTAAATTAATATTAGATAGGTTGTAAAAATTAAAATTGTGAATTATTGTAGTACTTTAACCATAAAAGGAGTGATAAGATAACACGTAAAATTAAAAGCATTTTTTGGTAAAGCACACAAATGAACCTCTCCAGGCGCACATTAGCAGGACTAACGGAGTCTGAGTCTCCTCGTCGCGTCGTCGGAGATCTAGCCACCATCCTTCAGTATCCTCTTTCTACTCTCCTCTGCTCATCGTCTCCTCTCTCACTATGGATCGGAGAAGCTTTTCAGATGTCAAGAAGGTTAAAAATTAACTTATTTTCCCCCCAAATCGACTGATAATTCGCCGATCGTCTGCCCGCCTCCGGAGGTCTTCGAGGCTGGAATTGCTGACTGGAAATCATCCTTAGTTGGTCAATTACTTGGGGCCGCACCAAATTTCTCAACTCTGTAAAGAATCATCAACAACCTATGATGGAACATTCATTCGAAAGGGGCACGAGTCCAAGTCAGTCAAGCGGGTAACAATCTCTATGTATTTTCCTTCAATTCTGATTCTGATAGAGACTAGGTCCTTGAACATGGACCATGGCACGTTCTTAACAAGCCTTTAATTTTAAGGAAATGAGAGCCTAATATAAATAGATTGGATTTCGATTTATCTTGTTTACCTATCTGGATAAACTTGTATAATGTTCCACTGGAATTGTACACTCAAGCTGGCCTTAGTTACATTACTAGTGCTCTAGGAACTATAATTTCTATGGACACTATCACTGCTTCGAAGACTAGACTCCACTATGCTAAGGTCTGTGTAGAGATAGGAGCTAATAAGGAAATTCCTGAAACTATTAAAGTGGAACTTGCAAATGGTCAAACTACTCTAATCTATGTTGAAGTTCCCTGGTTTCCAAGTAGATGTAGCAAATGTGTTTCATTTGGTTATTCTGAGAAAAATTGCCCTGCTAAACAATCTACTGCTCCTACCACATCAAAACTTTGGCGAAAAAAGTCAGACTCTACTACTAACATAGAAGCTAAGTTTTCTGATAGTCAAGAAGAATTGCAGCACCAAAAGCATGATTCTTCTTCCTCCAAGAAACTTTCCAATCCTAAGGTTAGCCATTCTGGAGAAGCTTCAGTTAGTCAGCATGAGCAACTCTCCAAAGATGATTCTTTAGTTCCTCTATTTTCTCTGCTAGTGAAGAAAATTCTCCTGTTACTCAACTTTTACCTCTCACTGATGATTCTGTCCAAAAAAGAAATCCTCATATGTCTCAATCTCCTACTGATAAGGTTCAAGAGACTGTTTTTGTAACACCCATAACCCGTATAATTATACCTATACAGATTATAGATGTTATCCAAATTTCTAAAACCATTTCCAATTTTCTATTGCGATTTAAAATTTATTTTCTTAAAATGGTAAGTGATATTATAAAAATATCATGTCATAAAAATTAAGCTTTGTTGTAATGAATTTAATTCAAAAGATTTTTTTAATGAATAGTGAACAATGACGATGAACAGTAGGGGAATCAGTTCCCTGTTGGGGGAATCGGTACCCCAAAATCATTCTGGAAATTTTGCTTAAAAACGTGGTTACTGTTCACGATACAGTAACTGCTACAGTAACTTCCGAAAATACATATAAATTCATAAAAATTAACCTTTCATCACTATAAAAATTTCCAAAATTTATTCAACAAATAAATTTAACATTTTCAAATTACATGCCACTATCTAAAATCAAATTCCATCTTAGGATGTCTTACTGATATTGAAATATACCTCTCGATGCTTGATATCACTTTGAACTTTTTATTCTGCTTTTTACCTACGCGTGAAAATCATCACACGCTAAGTATATACTTAGTGAGGTAATTAAAACATTTAACAGTGCAATACAATTAATGTGTGACTTTCAATGTCAAGAATCAATTTCCATAAAATCATTTTACTAACATATCCAATATTTTACCATAATCAAAATAATATAAAATCTCTTACCATTTATCCCATAAGCTCGTAAGCTTATTTTACCAAACTACTTACCATTTAAATTCCATAAGCTCATAAGCTTATTTTATCAATATATTTTCCATTATTCATAAGCTCGTAAGCTTATTTGCATACTTACAATTTATTAACCATTAAACCATAACTAATAGCCCATAGTATAACTGTATGAGAAACCCGATATAGGAGTCAAATATTGCACCGAAGTGCTGAGGTCGAGCTTTGCTCACCTAATAATACATCGTAGTGCTTGTACCGTGTCTTGGCTAGACACTTTGAGGCCTGCACTATGTGTCTTCTCTAGACATTCTAGTACTACCTAATATTGCAGCTGCTAGACTCTATGGCATGCCATTAATACCACTGATCCTCAATAACATACTTGAGCATATAGTCAATTTTATTTGATCATCCATGGCAAAGTATATTATCATAATTTAACAATGGGGCAGTTCATACCCAAAAATATTCATGGTAAAATATCACATTTTCCATAATCAATGCATTATAATTTCATACAGTGACATCTCAATGTCATGTCAATTTATAAAAATGACATAATATCATGCTGATATAAACAAGGTCGACTTATCGCAAGTCTTCCTTATGATGTATAAAACATCCATGTATAATTTCATGCATGTATTGCACTCACCTTGACACTTTACATCTTTCAAAATATTTTTGCCTCACTATTGTCCACAATATACCCTTTTTATACTTGACTTGCTTCAATTGCAAATCAACCATGATCTGTATAAATCACAAATTTATAACAATACATATGTTAGTATTGTACTAATGTCATAGACCACGAGCCCACAACCGAGGTTAGCCCATTAAGAGCAGCCCAAGTGGTGTTTTAGACCTTCTAGAAGCCACAAAGACTTAGGTGGCATTTAAATTTGTATAGATAATGCCCACTTGTTTTTGGTAGGTAAGATTTAATCTCGATCGTCGATGTAATTAGATCTTAGCCATTCATTGAGGGGAGCTTTAGCTATAAATAGAGGCATCCCCTCCTCATTTGTACTCACTCATTCACTTTGAGAAATCATAAGAGCATTCTTCTCTCAAAGCTTTCTTATCTTCCTTCTTGTGCTAGTTCTCTTGTCTAGCTTCCGTCGAGGTTCTAAGCATCCTTGCTTGGGATATTTTCAAGCTTACTTAGTCGCAATCACTAAGAAGGTGACTAAGGTCATACGTTCCGAAACGTCAAAGTTCTAAGGGCGTGACAAGTGGTATCAGAGCTAGTTTCGTGAGAAATGGCATAACAAAACCAAGACGAGGTCTTAACAAGCGAAGTGACTCGTGTTGCCATACCGAAGAAGTGAGCAAACTCAAAGTATATGGTAGCCTCATTCGAGCAAAGGGTCGGCAGGTTAGAAGATCGATATAATGAAGTCCAAGAGACTCAAGACTCGGTTGAATCTCGCTCGGAGAAAGTAGAGTCCGTGGAGGATGTACTCCGCGAAGAAACCCAAGCACTCATTAGCGAGTTGACGGAGAACGTAGATGAGCGTACCAGATGCCTCGAGAGCATGTACTTGGCCATGAGGGCCGAAATAATGCAAGAGGTAAAGGAGCTCAAGAGCGATCTGCTCGTCTACAAAGCTACCGTGTTGAATGGAGTGACTGGGGAGGCGCAAGCACCAAGACCCAGGATCGATGTCCCTAAGCCGAAGGAGTTCAAGGGGAGTCGGACTGCCCAAGATATGGAGAATTTCATCTGGGGCATGGAGTAATTCTTCCGTGGCTTGGGTATCGGGGATGATACCAAAAAGGTAAATGTTGCTTCTAATTATCTTACCAATGTTACTATGTTATGGTGACGTCGTAGGTGTTCCGAGATTACGAAACCAATCGAGACATGGGAGGAGTTCGTGGGAGAACTCAAGGAGCATTTCTATCCGAAGAATGCTGTGCTCGAGGCTCTAGTAAAATTGAAGCAATTAAAGCATGATCGGTCAATCTTAGAGTATGTCAAAAACTTTACGGAGATCAAGGTGCAAATCCCAGACTTAGGCGAGTCAGAAGGGTACTTTGCATTCATGGATGGACTACAACGTTGGGCCAACATGGAGATCTAAAGGAGTGGAGTGACTGAAGTCTCCAAGGCATTAGATGCAGCCGAAGCCATTGCCCCGTTTGAAGTAAAGAATACCGACTCTCTCCAATCCAAGCCGAAACCCAAAGGTAATAGTGGGGGAGAGAAGGCCAAATGAAGCTTTCACAAGCCAACATGAAATCATGGAAAACCAAATGATCGACCCAAAAAGCTCTTCAATCCTTAAGAGAAGAAGGGGGGATTATCGTGCTTTTCTTGTAGAGGAAATCATATGAAACGAGGTTGTCCTCAACTTATGAAAGTTGCTGCCATCAAGGAGAATGATGGGGTGGAGAGTGAGACTCTTAAGCTTGGCTCCATCTTTAGCACCATGGAGGTCAAGAAGGGTCGGAAGAAGAAGGGATTGATGTACGTAGACATCACCGTGGCAGGCCAAAAGATGAGCGCACTAGTGGACACCGGTGCCTTAGAGTTGTTCATGTCCAAACAAATTGCCAAGAGACTTGGTCTTCATGTGGAGAAGGCAAGTGGTTCCATCAAAACCGTGAATGCCGAAGAAGTTCCAATTGTGGGGGTCGCAAAGGGAATCGAGCTAACCGTCGGAGGTTGGTCTGGAAAGGAAGCCATCAAGGTAATCCCTCTCGATGACTTCGACTTTGTTCTTGAGTTAAGTTTTTTGGATCGAATAATTGCTTTCCCAGTGCCTTTTACCGATTTCTTGTGCATCCTGGATCCAAAGCAACAATGCATTGTTCCAGTGAGCCGAGGGCCCGGAATCGAGGCCAAGATGTTGTCCGTAATCTAATTCTCAAAGGGGGTACGCAAGGAGAAAACCACCTTTGTGTCTTCATTGGTGAGAATTGAACCCACAATGACTGAAGAAGTCCCAAGTGAAGTGGGATAAGTATTGGCAGAGTTTAGGGATGTGATGCCCACTGAGTTACCAAAGCATTTGCCACCGAAGAGAGAGGTGGACCACAAGATAGAGCTTGTGCCAAAAACGAAGCCACCCGCCAAGGCACCATACTGAATGGCCCCACCGGAGTTAGAGGAGCTTCGCAGACAATTGAAAGAGCTCATAGATGCTGGATACATCTGACCGTCAAAGGCACCCTTTGGTGCACCGGTGCTATTCCAGAAGAAACATGACGGCTCCCTTAGAATGTGCATCGATTATCGAGCTTTGAATAAGCTCACTGTGAAGAACAAGTACCTGATCCCGTTGATTGCCAACTTGTTCGATCAACTTAGCGGTGCAAGGTGGTTCACAAAGTTAGATTTACGGTCCGGATACTACCAAGTTCGGATAGCGGAAGGCGATGAACCGAAGACTGCTTGTGTGACACGCTACGGTTCATATGAGTTCCTTGTGATGCCCTTCGGTCTCACCAATGCCCCTGTAACCTTTTGCACGTTAATGAATAAGGTACTACAACCCTTTCTTGATCGTTTTATTGTAGTTTACCTTGATGATATCGTTGTGTATAGTAAGACCTTGGAAGAACACATTGAACACTTGAGAAGGGTGTTCCAAGTCTTACGAGAGAATGAACTTTATGTCAAGGAGGAAAAGTGCTCATTTGCGCAAAAGGAAGTGTCGTTCCTAGACCATATTGTTGGAGGAGGCAAGCTCCAGATGGACAAAGACAAGATCCGGGCAATAGATGAGTGGAAGCCACCCACCAAGGTAACTGAATTGCGAGTATTCTTAGGATTAACCAACTACTACCGACGGTTCATGAAGGGATATTCCAATATTGCCACGCCTCTGACCGAGCTACTAAAAAAGGACAAGGCGTGGGAATGGATAACGAAATGCCAGGATGCTTTTGAAAAGATCAAGGAGGCCATGGTGAATGAGCCCGTGTTGGTGTTTCCCGACTACACCAAGCCTTTTGTAGTCTTCACTGATGTGTCCGATGTTGCCATTGGTGGAGTCCTCATGCAAGAGGGACATTCGGTTTCATACGAGAGCCGGAAGCTCAATGAGACCTAGAGAAGGTACTCGGTTCATGAAAAAGAGATGACTGCAGTTGTGCACTGTTTGCGCACATGGCGGCATTACTTGCTCGGGTCCAAGTTCGTGGTGTTCACGGATAATGTAGCCAACAGTTACTTCCTCACCCAGAAGAAGCTTTCTCCCAAACAGGCTCATTGGCAAGAGTTTCTTGCCGAGTTTGACTTCTCCATGGAGTACAAGCCAGGGAAGGTGAATTGTGTTACAGATGGCTTAAGCCGGAGGTACGCCATTGAGACTGTGGAAGGTACCTTGCTCGAAAGGATCAAAGAAGGGTTGCCCCACGATCCTGCGGCCGAGCAAATTATTGAGGGAGCTAAGGAGGGGCGAACCCGAGAGTTTTGGCTCGAGGGGGAACTACTATATTATCGAGGAAATCAACTCTTTGTACCTCGATATGGGAAGTTATGCAAGGAGCTCATGAAGGAATGCCATGATTCCAAGTGGGCGGGACATCCGGGAGTTGATCGGACTTTGACATTACTTTCGGAGCAATACTATTGGCCGAACATGGTTGAAGATATATAGGCCTATGTGAAGACTTGTCTCGTGTGTCAGCAAGACAAAATCGAGGCAAAGAAACCGGCGATACTGTTGTATTCATTGCCCATTCCAGAGCGCCCATGGGAGAGTATTTCCATGGATTTTATCATAGGTTTACCCAAAACTGATGGAATTTCAAGTATAATGGTTGTGGTTGACAGGTTTTCAAAGTATGTGACGTTCATACTAGCATCTAAAGTTTGTCCAGCCGTGAAGACGACTCGACTTTTCCTCAAGCATGTGGTGAAATATTGGGGAATGCTGAAAACCATCATTAGCGACCGGGACACGCGATTCACAGGGAGGTTCTGGACGGAGTTGTTCAAACCGATGGGCAAACTGAACGAGTGAATGCTCTGTTAGAGATCTATTTGAGGCACTACGTGAGTGCCAACCAACGAGACTGGCCAAAGCTGTTGGATGTGGCCCAATTTTCCTACAACTTGCAATGGAGCGAGGCGACAAACCAAAGTCCGTTCGAGATCGTGACCGGGCAACAACCATTGACACCTAACACGGTTGTTACCAAGTATGAAGGGCCCAATCCATCAGCACACAATGTTACCAAGGAGTGGCACGAGCAACACAACTTAGCTCGAGCTTGTTTACACAAGGCGGGAAAGCAGACCAAGAAGTGGGCTGACCGAAAGCGGAGGGACGTGAACTTTGAAGTTGGAGACCTTTTCCTTGCAAATTTGGCCAATGTTTTACGCCACGCGGATGTGCACAAGGGGCTTGTGCGAAGATACGAGGGTCCTTTCCGAGTTGTGAAGTGAGTAGGCACAATGGCCTACAAATTGGAGTTGCCTTCAACCATCCGAGAGTATCTGGTTATCCATGTTAGCCTACTCAAGCCGTACCATCAGGATGCAGAGGATCCAGATCAAGTCAAGTCACACCGAGCGCCAGTCGGAGTAGCGGTCTCCTATGACAAGGAGATCCAAGATATACAGGCGGAGAGAGTTATTAGACGACCAGGACACCACCCGAGGCATGAGTACTTCATTTTGTGGAAATGACAACCCGAGTGCGAAGGAAGTTGGGAGCATGCCGAGGGACTTTGGCAATTCAAAACCCGAATATACCAATTTCATGCCAGACGAGTGACGAGGGCGTCACCAGAACGAGTGGGGGAGAATGTCACAGACCACGAGCCCACAACCGAGGTTAGCCCATGAAGAGTAGCCCAAGTGGTGTTTTAGACCTTCTAGAAGCCACAAAGACTTAGGTGGCATTTAAATTTGTATAGATAATGCCCACTGGTTTTTGGTAGGTAAGATTTAATCTCGACAGTCGATGTAATTAGATCTTAGCCATTCATTGAGGGGAGCTTTAGCTATAAATAGAGGCCTCCCCTTCTCATTTGTACTCACTCCTTCACTTTGAGAAATCATAAGAGCATTCTTCTCTCAAAGCTTTCTTATCTTCCTTCTTGTGCTAGTTCTCTTGTCTAGCTTCCGTCGAGGTTCTAAGCATCCTTGCTTGGGATATTTTCAGGCTTACTTAGCCTCAATCACTAAGAAGGCGACTAAGGCCGCACGTTCTGAGACGTCGAAGTTCTAAGGGCGTGACACTAACATAAACATGTCCCAAAATAATTCCATAGCATACTTCAAACTCATTTCCACTAAATAATTCAGTACTTATTATTTCCTTTTAACATTGGAACCCACTTTTCCAATTTACTCAAAATGGTCCTTCACTATTTTATCACTTAGACTCTTAATACCAAAAATTCCAGTATTGAAGGTATTATAAACCAAGTACCCATACAAAGGCATAATTAAAATAAACACTCCCAACAATTCAAAATTTGTATTACAATCACCAAACTTTCTAAAATTTCCATAATCCGACAACTTGCACCGTCTTTAAAGAATCAATATTCTGTATTGATATACACACTGGAATTTAATTCCATTTCTTCCGTTGAAAACTAGACTCGAATAAGAATCTATCCATATAAATAACTTTTTCTAATTCATTCTGTACAATTTATGGTGAATTTTCAAAGTTGACCAACAAAATCTGTTTTGCAGAATTCGCTGTCCGATTTTTCTGACCTTTCATTGGTTAAAAATTCATATATCTTTGTATACACCTTGAAATTGATCCCCCTTTGTTTTAAACGAAACTATATTAATATATGAACATAATATATACAAATAATCTCGAAAATATTTTTATATAATTTCTGGTGAATTTTCGAACCTACTGCCAAATTTAAAATCCAAACTGTTTTCTTTAACTTCATTCTTAGTTTCTTCATCAATTCTTACAACCAATTCTTTAAAATCACATAACTCTTCATAACCCATAAAACACAAGAACCCCTTTTCATCAACTCAAGATGAACTTGAACAACCAACAAGATTATCATACAATATTGGTACCAAATGATAGCGTTTTTCCCATATAACAATTTCCTATTTTCTGCATACTCAAAATCCTATGGAAATTGCTTGAAAATGAAATTAAAGCTTGCTCTTACCTTGGAAGAAGCTCACATATGGTTTTGGAGAAGAAGATGAGCAAATTTTGTTGAAATGTAGAGACATCTCATCTTAATTTACCTTAAATTCCAATTAAATGAATAAAATATTCATTTAATTGGGATAAGACTAAATCACCCTTAATGAATTTTCTTAATTACCATAAAACCATGACGGCTCATCCTTATCACATTTCAAAGTCAAAGCTGAATTATTTTGACTATTAATTCCGAAATTCTCCTTGAATTTTCAAAATTTGCGTTTTAGTCACTAAATTCCACTGTTTCGATTAAATCTAAAAAATTGCACAATTCCAGCCCAAATTTCTCTGATCTAAAATATTAACATAATATTTCCAAACATTTTATAACATCCTTCAATTTTTTGTAACATTCCAATTCGATTCGAATTTCTGATTCCTTATCGGCTTTAACCCTTTCTAATTTTTCTTTACTAAAATTCCAAATCCATAAATGTGATTTCTATAAAACCCCACTCTTAAGAGTAAACCATCTATTTATGTAATAAAATTCTTTTTAGGAAATTATCACTTAATTCCCTAAACGTTTTTCCCAAATTTCTACTTTGACCATCAAACTTTCAAAATTTGCATTTTGGTCATTATCTAAATTTTTGGGGTATTACAATTTTTATTCCTAAAAGAGGTATAGGCAGGCCTATCAAGATCAAACCTAAAACATCTCTTAAAGGGTCAGCAAATAGATTCGAAATTCTTAGTGCAGTTGATGAAAATTCACCTATTGTTGAGGTTCAAGTTAAGAAAAGTAGATCTGCTGCCTCAGGTGTATAAAACCTTCTCAAGGAACTAAAAGTAAAAAATAAGGAACAAATGGTAAAAGTAAAAACCCTTTTAAAAAAGGGGGAACATCCAACTCTCCTACTCAATGATTATATGCTTTTGGAACATCAGAGGATTAAACAATCCTCAAAAGCAAATAAAAGTTCTCCAAAGAGCCATGGTTGCTCGCATGTTTGGAAAGCAATTTCTCAAGTATGGAGTGATGTACGCCATAATTTGGTTTGGAGTATTGGTGATGGCTGAAATGTTGACTTGTGGAGGGACGCATGGCTTAGTAATGTGGGTCATTTGAATTGCTTTGTTACTAATCAACCCGATAGAGAGGCACTCCCAAGTCGATCGGTAGTTTCAATGGTGGACGAAAATGGTCTTTGGAGCTGGGAATTATTCAATCATATATTACCTAGCACTATTATACAGAGGCTGGCAGCAACGATGCCCCCATGGAAGTGCAGGAAACTCGATGTGCTGGGGTGGAAGTGGAATTTTGATTGATGCTTTATGGTTAAGTCGGCATATGATATGAGACAGGAATGCTCGGATGACAGACCACTCAACGTATGGGAAGTGATTTCGAAATACCGTGGTTTGCAAAGAATTAATTTTTTTTTTTGGTTATTAGCTAACGATAGGCTTCTAATCAATACGGAGAGAGTATGACGACACTTAGCTACAAGCAATTATTGTGGAGTTTGCGGGCAGCCAGGGGAAACAATAGATCATCTTTTTCACCACTGCTTTTTGGCTATGGGAATCTGGTCCTCACTAGTTAAAGATGATAAATTGCATGATTTTCTTTCACAGGACATAAGGAGTTGGTTGCAAATTAATATTGTCTCTCCGCGATTTTATGCACGAGATGAACAGGATTGGGACTTATTATTTGGTTCAATCCTTTGGTTGTTATGGAAAAATCGCAATAAAAGGATTTTTGAACCGGATTATATTGAACATGAATTTGTTTTGGAACAAGGCAAGCGTCTTTGTTTCGAAGCTAACCGTGCACTTGCTTCTTCTATGTCGAAGAGTCAGACTTATCGGCATGTTAATAGGACTGTTCTTTGGTCTCCACCGCCTCTGAACTAGTGTAAGATGAATACAGATGGATCCCGTAAAACTAGAAACGGATTTGCGACCTGTGGGGGTGTTCTCCGATCCTCGAATGGTGATTGGCTTGTTGGCTTCTCTAAGGTAATATGTATATGTTCTATCGTTGAGGCGGAACTATGGGGTATTTATGAAGGTATTTCTCATGCATGAAACCGTGGGGAACGACAAGTCATGGTAGAAGCCGATAGTGTGGAGGTTATTCAGATGCTATAGGGGAAACCAAGAGAGGTTCATTCTTATCTCTTCTTGATCGAGTTTTGGAGTTATTAAATCGGGAATAGAATGTTACTTTACGTTATGTAAATCGGGAGGCGAATAAGGTAGCTGACAAGTTGGCGAGGATCGCTGCTGGCCGAGGTTACTCTCAGTTGAGTTTTCACAGTCCACCGTTGGAGGTTTTTAATCTAATACAAGAGAAGGACACTGCTGGTAACTTAGAAGCAAGCATCTAAGTGCTAGCTATTCTTTTCTTTTATTCACAAAAAAAAAGTTCTCCAAAGAGTCAATCTTTACAAAGTCGATATTCTTTGCTTGATGAAAACCCGTATTAAGTCTGATAATTCTGCCAATATATTACACTCTAAATTTGGTAGTTGGAATGTCCTCACTAACTATGAATTTGCCTCTAATGGACGAATTTGGCTTCTCTGGAAAAAACGAATTGATATCAACTTCTGTAATTCTTCTGATCAAAGTATTTCTGTCAAATGCCACTTCAATAGTACCTCTTTCATCATCACTACTATCTATGGTAATAACAATGGCATTACTAGAAGACTCATCTGGCAACATCTCAGAGATCTTAATTTTCATTTTAATGTTTTTCCTTGGATTCTTGGAGGAGACTTCAATTCTTTTCTTCACTTTAAAGAAAGCTCTGACTCTGATCTATTAGGACCTTATCTTTCTTCTGATATGAAAGACTTCCTTGATGTGACTCAAGACCATCATTTTTTTGGCCCATCATTCACTTGGAGCAACAATAAAAAAGATGCCTTCATAGCAAGGAAACTTCATAGAGTTCTTATAAACTCTTATTGGGTCAATTCCTTCACTAAATATTTTGTTGAATTTCTTGCCCCAGGACCCTCTGACCATTGCATGGCTATTGTGTGGTTAAACAAAGAAGCTCATACCAACCAACCCAAACCATTCAAGTTCTTCAACTTTTGGTCCAACCATCCTACTTTTCTTGATGTAGTGAATCTTTTATGGAAGTAACCAGTTCAAGGTAACCCTATGCAGGCTCTATTTCTCAAACTAAAAAGACTTAAGCCTTGCTTACAAGCTCTGAACAAAAACTCCTATAGCAACTTATCTGCTAGAGTCAAACTCAAGAAAACAGAGCTGGAACAATTACAAATCTCTACTCTTAAAGGATCCATCCCTCTTGATAAGGACTTGTCTGCCCAAAATGAGTTGGCTGCTCTTGAGGAATCTGAAAAATGTTTTTAAAACAAAAATCCAAAGTTAAGTGGCTTAAAGAGGGGGACAAGTGTACAAAGTACTTCCATTATGTCATTGCAACAAAAAACAAAAATGATACCATTAGGGTTCTTATAAATGCTTAGGGTAAAAGACTAGAATCCTTTGAAGATATGTCTTCTGAAGTCATTGATTTCTTCAAACAACAATTAGGTTATGTTGATCCTAATTTAAAGCAAGTTGACCCTCACTATTTGAAAAGTTTGCTCCAATTAGAATTGTCTAGTGATTTTTCATCAGACTTAGTCAAACCTGTTACAAACGAAGAGATCAAAGAAGTCTTATTTAGTCAAGGAAACAACAAAGCACCAGGCCCGGATGTATTTACTCCTTTATTTTTCAAAAAATCTTGGTTTGTGGTAGGAGATGATCTTATCAAAGCTATCATACATATCTCATGTTGCTCAGTGGTGTACAAAACCATCTCCAAACTCCTTGTTAAAAGACTGACCATGCTGCTGCCCGATCTTATTACTCTAAACCACTCTGCTTTTGTCCAGGGAAGATCGATAATATATAACACTCTTCTAGCTCAGGAATTAGTCAAAGGATATGGAAGGAAGCAAATATCTCCTAGGTGTGCTCTCAAAATTGATCTTCAAAAGGCATTTGATTCTCTTCATTGGGACTTCATATCTGCTACCCTCAAAGCCATTTGACTCCTTTGCTTTTTCTTAAGATGGATTGAGGCTTATTTTAAAGAAGCCAGATATTCAATCTCCTTCGATGGTAGCTTAGTTGGTTACTTTAAAGGCCAGAGGGGGATAAGACAAGGTGACCCATTATCTCCTATTCTCTTTGTGCTTGCTGCGAATATACTCTCCAAAATTCTTAATCTAGCTGCTTCTAAAGGGATCTTTGGGTATCATCCTAAATGTAAAAAAATAGGCTTAACCCATCTCTCTTTTGTTGATGACCTCTTAATTTTCTACAAAGGAAATCATGAGCCTATTGCTGGTGTCATTTCTGTTTTAAATCAATTCTATGAATTGTCTGGGTTAAAGCTTAATGCTAGCAAGACTGAACTTTTTGTTGCTGGTATTTCCTCTAGAAATCTTGAAGTTATTCACTGCATTTCTGGTTTCAAGCAAAGTCATCTTCCTGTTAGGTACTTGGGTGTTCCTTTAATCACTAAGAAACTATCTAATTTTGACTGCCAACCTCTTTTGGACAAAATTAAGCTAAGGTTATACCATTGGTCTAGTAAGATGCTTAGTTATGCTGAAAGACTGGAATTAATTAAAACAATATTGTTCAGTGTGGCAAATTATTAGTGCAGGCAATTCATGCTCCCTCAATCAATAATCAACCTAAATTAATCAGCTCTGTTCCTGATTCCTTTGGAAAGGAACTGATCAGGCAGCTAATGGGGCTAGGGTCAGCTGGTCAAATATCTGTTGTCCCAAATCAGAAGGTGGCTTAGGTCTGAAGAACTTAAAAATATGGAACACTGCTTGTATGATTCATATTATGCGAAAGATTCTGGTAGGAGAAGGTTCCCTTTGGGTAGCTTGGTTAAACTGTTATGTTCTCAAGAATTCTGATTTCAAGGACATGTCTGCTAGTAACGCTCACAGCTGGAACATTAAGAAACTTCTGAAGCTTTGATCTATTGCACTTTCAATTTTGAATGCTGGAACAAAAAATACCAAGGACATTTGGGAAACTATTAGAGAAAGAAGAAGTAAGGTTTCTTGGCATAATATCATTTGGTTTCCTTCTCATATACCCAAATTTAGTATGATAACTTGGATGGCCATCTTAGACAGACTGCCAACTCGGGACAGACTGTCAAAGATGGGAATTGTTACTAATAGTCAATGTGTTCTTTGCAATGCAGCTCTTGAATCTAGGAACCATATATTTGCTGATTGTAACTTTGCTAAGTCTATATGGAATTCCATCTTAAACCTCTCTCAATTGCGTAAAATTCACATGCCTTGGGAAACTATGCTTGCATGGGCTTGTGATGAATGGAGGGGTAAATCTCTCATCTCCACCTTATTGAAAATTGCTTGGACCTCCTTCATTTATTCGATTTGGGAGGAGAGAAACAGAAGAATCTTTCAAAGAAGTTCAAGAGAAGCTGATCAAATTCTGTCAACTATCAAGGACATTATCTGAATTCAACTTAGAGGAAAAAAATTCAATAGAAATGATAATGTCAACTTAATTCTTAGTTGTAATTGGGGTATAGTCTAACCATTATTTTGTTGTAAGTATTTGTTTATACTCCCTTTTGGGACGTTTCTTGTAGCTACTGTGCTTCTTTGGATAAATAAAATTTAACTTATCCAAAAAAAAAAAAAAACAAGCCAATAGGCCCTTAAACAGTCCAACTGTTAGTAAGGCCTATGACCAATTTCTAACTATCAACTCTTTCTTCAACACCTCCGTAGAGGAATCCATGGTGATGGGCCATCACTTTTCTGCTGCCTTTTGTATTGAGATTGGAGAGGAATCCATGACGTGAAAATCTAAGTTTGCGTTGAAAGAAAACAACACAAAGACAAAGCAGATGGAAATTCATACACATTCCCCGGCCGCGCGTTCATTTCTTTTTCCATTTTTGTTTTCTGGCAAACGTGCACCATTGCAGACTGCAGTTGAGGCCACCCCATGCGCGGTCGGTGATAAGCTCCTCATTCACGTCATTATTCAATCTTTTATTGCCTTGCTAGCAACTTTTCTGATTAATTAATGAAGCTGAATATGATGTTGTCCACCAAAATTATGGCTGATTTGCTATTGGTCAAAGAAAGAAGAAAGATGAAGGCAGAACAAAGGAGTAGAATATTTAATAAATATTGGTTCATCTAATACCATATAATAAATATTTAACTTTCGACTTCGTCTCTGACTTTGGTAATCATTTTGAACAAGTTATAGATATTATATTTATTAAACTATCTTTTGGAAACAAGTTATATTTAAGTTGGCACTTTAGATGATTTGTTTACTTATTTTAAACTTAAATCATTTTGTATTAGATGAGTTTAGGGTTATGATTGAATAGATTAAGGTTGTTGACATTTGATGATCGGGGCTGACTGACAACCTTGGGAGAAACGGAAAGCAAAAGGCTGTAAAAAGAAGCAACGCGTAGACCAAAAATGACTACGACTTTGGCTTACCATGGGGAGTATGATTTGTCACTGCCACGGATTTCTTTTGATTTTTTCCCCTTTCACATGGGGATGTGTGCTTTAATCTGCTGCACAGTTTTGCATTTGCAGCCTCTGATCATCTGAGCCCCCCATACAGAAATTTTCAGTGTTCAACTCCTTTAATCATATATAGCCTTTGACCTTGCTTATTATTCTTCCATTAAAGCTCAAAACCCTTTGCTCATCTTCTTCTTTGCTCTATGTTTTGGTAACAAGGTGTTGAACCATGAAACCTTGGTATCTCAAATGATTATCATGTGTTTTCTTTCCAACTCCACTAATATATATTATGGTTGTTGAATCTTTGTGGAAGAACTTTTGTATCTCTGTTGAAGGTCTTTCGCGTATTATCCCCGTACCTCAGAGTCTATGGAGAGTCTCTCCATAGTCAGAATTCCAAAAGAGTATATCCTTAATAAGAATCTCGAATATCTAATAACTAATATCTAATATCCTTAATAAGCCGACCATAGTCACTTCGACTATCAACATAAAAGTACTCGCAATAGTCATATCTCTATGCTCCTTAATTAAGATCGAAAGAGAAGATGGAACCCATGATTCTTCTTTGTCATTCAATCTTTCTGTCTTTTTATATTAGATATCAATCAACGACCACTCATTTATCGATTGTGATTTTCTATTTAAATCAAAATAAGTAAACTGTCTATAATCCATTTGTTTCCATCAGCAATGGTATTAATAATTTTAAACATTAGGGTGTGGTCATGAGTTTTCAGAATTTGAAGGGTGGCGAAAGTGAATATAAAAAATCAAGCATCATTCACAAAAGGTACAACCATATACGCACATTTCTTCAAACTTAGTGAAAGCCAGTGCTAATATCTTAGCTGCACCCTGAATTGCCCCCCCCCAAGAAAAGAATAAAACTTGGAAATAGCTAAAGAAAAATTACATATATTTATCATCCTATGAAGCAAGAAAAAGAAATCATTAGTGATAAACATAGGTGTTTTCTCAAGTTAAGCTGGAAACATCAAGGGCTCGCATCTCTTGTCTTGAATTGTCTTTGTGGTACAAAAACATTGCTTAATGGCAAAGTGATTCTTTTTTTTTCTTCTGGCCTTTTTCTATATTCCCTTGAGGAATCAAGTCAGCTGCCTACTGACCATACCTTTTTACCAATAGAATTTAGCTGAATATTTGGTGGACTGTTGCTGATATCTCATCTGCTGATCTTAGCTTACAATCGTCCTCCATCTGCCATTTACACATTTCCAAGACACCCCAGAGATGAACAAAAGAAAAAAAACCAACAAGATAAGATGTTTGAGACTTTTTGGAACTAGGTTTTTGAGTAGAATAGTCAAAGACTCAAGTTAAAAAAAAAACAAATTATATGTTACCTTGAGATTGAACGAGTAAAGAACCGATGCTTGTAAAGAAGTAATGTTGAGATGCAGAACTGTTAATCTGAGACTTTCCAGGGTGACAATGCCTTGTACTAGCTGACCAGGTCTTCTTTCACACTGAATCTTTAAGTTGACATGATTGTGTACAACATTAACTTCTATTTCAGCTTCTCCCTTTACAACTTCAGGCTGTGAAATTTCTATTGCAGACTTTGACTCCGAATTATTACTGCTGCTGTTGTTATTGCTTTCTTCAGTTGTTCTCATTCTCTTTTGTGCTTCCATGGATTGAACAAGTTGCTCCAGTTCCTTGACGAAGTCAATTGCACCCCCTATAATAGACGCTTGGTCACCCTGCAAACCAAGAAAAGGAAAACATGGTAACGAAAGTGAAACTAAACAACTAACTTGGGGATTAAAAATATTGGTGGGATTCGATTGATATACTCTTTGGATGTAAGATGGAGGCATGAGAGAGCGGAGGGAATTTAGATAATCGTTCATTTGACGTCTACGGTTGCGTTCAACGGCAATGTGGGTCATTCGTTGGCTCTCAACTTCATCTTTATTCTTAACCGGCTTCGTTCTCTTCCGCTTCCTTCTTTCTCTGGGAACAAGAGTGGATTTTGTGACGTTTTTACTGCAATTGTCCGCGTTTTGGTTGAACTCGGAGCTCACAACATCAAAGCATGAAGATGAAAAATGTGGGTTGTTTTTAAGGTCGTTATTGGTCTCGGATTTGACCGGTGAATGCAAGTCGAGTGCTTCACGGGTGACACAGCTTTCAAGCTCTAAAGCTTGGATTTGTGTTTCCATGAAAGGGTCGTTGTTCAAGTGTTGCAGTCTCAAAAGTGTCTGAAAACTGGGATTTTTGAAGGCGAAAAGCTGTGGGGGTTCAAGTTCCACGCTTTGGAGCATCTGAAGGAAAGGCATTTTATTTTTCAAGCTGAATATCGTATACTGTGTTTCTTTTTCTTCCTCTTCTTCTCTCCCGAAACTCAACAGCTCTGAGTTAACAAATCCTTGTTCCAAACATTCCACGTCCAACTGATCTCCTATGAACTGCAAAAAATAAATTTTCGGAAGAAAAAAAGTAAAGCTGTCAACAGCTATAAGAGGGAATGAGAATAGAATGTTGAAACAAGCAGTAGTGCATTGAATGCAAGCAAATTTCAAAGGAGTAAATGCAGTACTAAAGAAAACAAAGTAACACATACACGAGAACTAATTGGTTCTTGGAGACTCTCCATAAATGCAAACCACCCCCAAGAAGCCGAAGACACAATTAGTTTCCTTTAGCTTTCTGGTGTTGGCAATACACTCAGAAATGGAATTGACATTAAATGCTTTGAAGTGACTGGAGTAATGGGAATGCAACTCGAAGCTGGTGAAGATGAACCTGAAAATGCATTGAAACAAGGAGCAGATTGAGCTGAGAAAATACCAAAGTAAGAGTGAGAGAAGAGATATAGAGATACAGTGATGTATTAGGGACCGGCAGAGTTGGTGAGACTTAGCGGGGGGTGGGGGGGATTGTCTGGTTCGCAAGGTCCCAAGCATTATTGGGCCATTGACGATGGCAGTTTTGTCCAGCAGCGGGGACAGACAGTTGTGGGGACTACCCTTTTGCGAGCGTACACCAAAGGCAAAAATTGCTTTGGAAACTGGAAAGTCATCCTATGGATTCTGTCACCCTTCTGATGATGGGTCTTTTCTTTATAGCGCATCTCTACCGTTCTCCATTTTCGTTTTCCTTTGGGTTTATTTCCACCAAATGTTCATCAATTATGACTTCAATTCTAAAACGATTCAATTGTTTCTAAGTATATAAGTCATATTTAATCTAATCATTAACTTAGATATTAGAATACTAGGAATATTGTTCTATTTAGGCTCAATTCAAACAACTATATTTATAAAAAAGAAAATAACCTCAGTGACCGAAAATACCTTATAATATACGATTTTAACCAACTTTTTTTAGATTTGCCAAAATGACCAACAAATTCGCAACGCGAACTCCAATTTCGCAACCTAGTTTCCAATTTCGCAACGCGAATATGTAAATTGCAACGCGAATTTGTAAATCGCAACACAGAAGTCAAATTCGCAACGCGATAGTCAAATTCGCAACACAAAAGTCAAATTCGCAACGCGATAGTTAAATTCGCAACACAAAAGTCAAATTCGCAACGCGGAATTTCAAATTCGCAACGCGGAATTTCAAATTCGCAACTGAATTTCAAATTCGCAACTAGATTTTCGAATTCGCAACAGGTTTTAGTTTCGCAACACAAATGTTTTGGGTATATAACAACGCAGCAGCAACAACTCATAATCTAAATCCCTAAATCACAACTCAATCCATCTCCATCTATCACTCTCTCCGGCGATATCCGTTCCTATATCCAACGACATCCTTCCCCATCTCTAATTTTTTTTACATAATTTTATTTCTATATAATTTTTCAATGATTTCTCTCACAAATTATCAACTATCAACTTAATAAAGGTATGTTTTTCTCTAAGTTAGTGATGATATCTAGTTTATAGCTCGTTTGTTTAGTAAATTAATTTACAATTTGTAGAATGAAATCATCTAATGTTGATCATGTTTGGATAGATTTGTGTTTTGGAGGGTCATGGGAGAATGTTCATGGTGTTTTACAATATGTGCTTTTACCCATGAATCTTCAACTAAAAATGTCATTAAAAAAGTTAACTTATGAAACTATAATGTTACATGTTGCAAAGAAATTGAATTTAGAGCCTTTAAGTGGATTTAGGCTATCTTATCAGAGAAAAGGTAAAGTTTATTTGTTAACCGACAATGAAGATGTTGAACGATTCATTGCTTACATTAGTGTTTCGCAAGAAGATGATGTTACATTGTATGTTGTTGAACCTAGAAGTAGTGAAGTTGGGTCAGTAGCGGGTAGTAATCAACTAAGTTCTTCAACCCCAGTTTATGGTGCTCACAATGTACAACGTTGTTATCAACCTCAAAATTTAATGGTTCCACCACAATTTCATCACCAAGAAAATTTTGTTTCACCACATTTCCAATACCAAACACAATATCAAACACAATCTCAAAACCCACAACCTTTTCCTAATCCAAATCCCAACCAACTTTCAACCCCAAATTTCGATTTTCGTATTGACCAGTTAGGCGATTATGAGCCAACAGAAAATATTGTGAGTACTAGTCAGTATTCGAAATTTGATCTTGGTCAATACTCAAACTTTGATCTTAGTCAATACTCAAATTTTGATGATGTGATGGAAGAAGAAACAGACCCTACATGTAATGATTTTGATATTGGTCAATACCCGAATTTTGATGATGAAACAGTCGCTGCCGAGGAAGATGTTGTTGATGATGATGAGGAGGAAGTTACGACTGTGAATGAACATGTTGAACATCCATTATGTAATTCATATAACCCTGAAGAAGAAGAAGAATTTCCCAAAGAAAAGAAAAAGAAGAAAATGCCACGGGAGTATAACTGGAATATGCCAGAATTACTTCAGATACCGGAAGAAGAGTTGGTAAAGATAGCAGTTGATTGTTACACAAAAGTTATTCGTATCAAGAAAGATGATTGTTTTGATACAAATTAAGACTTGAAGATAGCTTTGTATACGAAATGTGTGGAAGATGGCTATCAACTAAAAGTTAACAAATCAAGCAAAGATCGTTTCGAAACAAAGTGTATGATTGACAAAAACTGTATGTGGCGTATGATTGCAAAGAGGATAAAAGATTGCGAAATGTTTCAAGTTAGGACTTTTATTGATAAACATACATGTTCAAGAACCCAAGTTTTTCCTCACCATAGACAGACAAACAAAAAGGTGTTGGGTGGTTTTCTGCTGAGTTAATGTTTTTGAATGGAAGGTATATCGGAGACATGAAATTATGACTAACATGATCTCGGTTCAAGATTAGTATCTCATATTCTCAAGCTTGAGAGCCAAAGTTATGCCTTGGAATTGTTAAGGGGCGGTTAGTAAATAATTATAATTTTGTTGACTCATTTTTGTTAGTTGCATGCATTTCACATTTAATGATTATATTTCTTGTGTATATGATTTTGTAGATTCGTTCGTTTATTACTTGCATGCGCCCAGTTATTATAGTTGACGGAGAACATTTGAAAGGTCGATACCTTGGAGTAAACTTATTAGCAGTAGCCATGGATGCTAACAATGGGATACTGCCAATAGCTTACGGAGTTGGAAAATCTGAAACCTCTTATTCATGAACATGGTTTATGGGGCATCTTAGTGATTGCATAGGTCCTATTAGCAATCTGAAAATCATATCCGATAGGGCAAACTCAATTGACAACGTTGTTAGAAGGTGTTTCCCAGATGTTTTTCATGGACTTTGTGGTGTTCATTTGTACAGAAATCTAAAATCAAGATCTGCTGGTATAAAAAATCACAAATGGACATACTGGAAGGCTGTAAAAGCTTATCGGAAAGTGGATTTTAATAAGCATATAAATTATTTAAGACGTGTTTTGCCTCAATGTGCTCAAACACTAGAAGATGTCGGGTTTGAAAGATGGTCAATAGTACATCAACTTGGAGTAAGATATGTTTCATGACGTCTAATAGTGCAGAATCAATCAACGCTCTAAGTCGCCATTCCCGGAAATTACCCATTACTATGTTAATGGAGTTTTTTCGAGCCTCTATTCAATAGTGGCACTACAAGAAAAGAAACCATGCATGTATTATTTCTTTAAATTCGTAACTTATCATATATTTTACTAAGTATTATTTATTTAAATTTACAAGAACATTGGAACGTCGTGTTACACCATGGACTGAAAAAAGATAACGAAACGTGTTGTGAAGTCAACGTCATGGAGAGTTGAACCATGTTCAAACACTTTGCTTGAAGTATTGGATAATAACTTAAATGGGCTTGTCGATCTAAATACAAAGACGTGTAGTTGTAAGAAATGGAAAACATCTGGTTATCCGTGTGTCCATGTTATAAAAGTTTCTCTTCATCTAAACCAAGATGATTCAAGCGCATACGCTATGGATTACTACACTACAGAAATATATCGACAGACTTATGCCGAGATTATCTACCCATGTCCACATCCTTCTGAGAGAGACATACCAGATGACTTACAAACAGTTTTGCCACAGTCATGGACAGCAAGCTACCTGGCCGATCAAAAAATCACGATCGTATACCGTCTAAGGGTGAAGAGAAGAGGATATCGACATGTAGTCGGTGCAAGGAAAGTTATCATATAAGGTTGACATGTGGATCACCAGTGCCATCACAATCATCTTTTCCTCTACCAAAAAATGGATCCTCATCAAAATCCAAAGCTCATATGGTGCCAAGCAAAAGGAAATCAAAATCGCAATCAAAATTAAAATCCCAATCACAACCGACTTCACCTTTTGAGACTTATTAACTTAGGTGATTTTTAAATGCAAACGTTGTATTATGTGTATTTTATGTGCGAATGCATACATTTTTATTTAGACATTCATTAGTAACTTGAGTTTGAACATTGCTATGATCTGTTCAGTTGTTATCATGTTGGGATTTTCTCTTGTGTTTGATTGCTTGGATAGTTGTTCTCTTGCTTCTTCAAGTATCTTTAGCTTGTATTTATAGCTTGGAATGTGTTTGATGTTGTATATAACTTGATGTTGTATGTTGCGATCAATGCGAAAGTCAAATTCGCAACGCTTATTTCGCATTGCGAATTTACCTTTTGTGTTGCGAATGTGTACCTTCAACATGTCTTTTTTACCTTCAACATAATGCAGATTGAATTTAAAACAACAAATCAACTTTTACAAATCAATTAAACAAGCAAAAAAATAATTCTTATTTACACATCAAATTGAACAAATCAACTTTTACAAATCAATTAAACAAGCAAAAAATAATTCTTATTTCCTCATCAATTAAACAAATCAACTTTCAATGTAAAATTCAATTAAACAAGCAAAAAAAGTGTACCCCAGACTGTTGTTTATGCAAAAATACATCAATTTCATGCAGCTCGCGTCAGGAATAACCTGGAGAAACCAAACATTTGCTCAAACAACACTTTCTACACATCTAAAACCAACAAACAACAAATTATTGAATTCTAGGTACTTAACCAAACATTTTCAAACCAACAAAGAGTAAAATATGTTAACAACACTTGCTCAAACTTACCAATTGTTTATGCAAACTTTCAGCACGCGGATGCAGGTAGGTAACGTCTCGCATATATCACTCGAGCCATAAAATGCCGAAACCATAAGCCTACTGCACCTCTATCTCTATCTGTGAGAGGTAGAAGGTGTTTACTTCCTGTCGTCAAACGCTCCAAGCACATGCA